GCCCAGAAGCTAGCCCAGACTAGGCCCTAAACCCTAAGCCAGCCCAGAGTAGGCCCTAAACCCTAAAGCCAGTACCGAGTAGGCCCTAAACCCTAAAGCCTGCCCAGAGTAGGCCCTAAACCCTAAAGCCAGCCCAGAGTAGGCCCCCCGAGCAGCCGGCAAATTTTGGTGGAAAACCGGTAAATTTCGGTGGAAAACCGGGAATTTTTAGTGGAAAAACCTGGATTTTTAGTTGAAAAACCGGGAATTTTTAGTGGAAAACTGGTGATTTTTGGTGGAAAACCTGTGTTTTTAGTGGAAAAACCTGGAATTTTAGTGGAAAAACCGGGAATTTTTGGTGGACAAACCGGCAAGTTTTAGTGGAAAAACCGGGAGTTTTTGGTGGAAAACCAGTGATTTTTGGTGGAAAAACCGGGAATTTTTAGTGGAAAAACCGGGATTTTTTTGTTGAAAAACCGGCAAGTTTTAGTGGAAAACCGGGAATTTTTAGTGGAAAACCGTGAATTTTTAGTGGAAAAACCTGGATTTTTTAGTGGAAAAACCGGGAGTTTTTGGTGGAAATACCGGCAAGTTTTAGTGTAAAAACCGGGAATTTAGAGTGGAAAACCGGGAGTTTTTGGTGGAAAACCGGGATTGTGGAAAACCGGTATTTTTTAGTGGAAAACCGGGAATTTTTAGTGGAAAACCGTGAATTTTTAGTTGAAAACCGGTAATTTTTGGTGGAAAACCGGGAAGTTTTAGTGGAAAACCGGGAATTTAGAGTGGAAAACCGGGAATTTTTAGTTGAAAACCCGGGAGTTTTTGGTGGAAAAACCGGGAAGTTTTAGTGGAAAAACCTGGAATTTTTAGTGGAAAACCGGCAATTTTTGGTGGAAAACCGGGATTTGTGGAAAACCGGGAATTTAGAGTGGAAAACCGGTAATTTTTAGTGGAAAACCGGTAGTTTTTAGTGGAAAACCGGGAATTTTTGGTGGAAAACCGGGAATTTTTAGTGGAAAAAAACCGGGAAGCCATTAGCCATTAAATATACATAGGATAGAGAGTGTTTAGGGTTTAGGGTTTAACTCATGGCAGGCCTTGCAAGCCCTAAACCTGGCAGACCCTCCAAATCCCTAAGCCATAAACCTGAATGAAGCCCTAAACCCCAAAGCCCTAAACCCTGAAACCCTCAACACCCTGAGCCCAAACCCTAAACTCCCTAAACCCCAAACATGGCCTGAGGTTCCTCCCTGAAACCCTAAACTACCCTGAGTTCCCCACAGTCCCTAAACCCCCAAACCCTAAGCCCCAAACCCTAAACCCCAAACCCTAAACCCTAAACCCCAAACCCTAAACCCTAAACCCCAAATCAGCTCCCGAGGTTCTCCAGGAGCCCCGTGCACAGCTGACGGACGTGGGCCGCAGTCGGCGACGGACCATTGGCGACACCCGGCTCGCTTTTGCTTCTGAAGGGGTCTAGGGTCTAGGGTTTAGGGTTTAGGGTTTAGGGTTTAGGGTGTAGGGCTTAGGGATGCGGGTTTAGGGATGCATGTATATATATATATATTGTTTATATATATATATAAATATGTATATGTCTAGGGTTTGGCTTGGGGTTTGGTTTAGGGTTTAGGGTTTAAGGTTTCCAGCTTCAAGCTTTGGAGTCGAGGGTTTAAAGGTTTAGGGTTTGAAGGCTTAAACTTCTAGGGTCTGTATCGTGCAAAAAAGATTCATGGACCGACAATAGCAGAGAAGTCAATTCAAAAGGGGACAGAGCAGCCCTAAACCCGAGACCTGATAAACCCAGAATTTAGGGTTTAGGGTTCAGGGTTTAGGATTTAGGGTTTAGGATTTAGGGTTTAGGGTTTAGGGTTTAGGGGTCTTCCCTGGACAAGGACCTGGATGCTGTGGGGAACGGTTTTCTGACCTATAGGATTGATTGCGTTTTTTTTTTTTTTTTTTAGTTTTTCTTTGTTGGTGTTTTGAGGCTACACTAAACCCTAAACCATAACCCCCACCCTAAACCCTAAACTGGTGGTGGTCTTGATGGTGAGTATGGGTGAGGGTTGGGTTTGTGTTGTGTTTCCTTATCTTGCTGCTGGCAGTCCTCTTGGGCTTGGGGTTTAGGGATTTAGGGGCTTAGAGGTTAGGGGGTAGGGGGTAGGGTTGAGGGTTTAGGGTTTAGGGTTTAGGGTTTAGGGTGTAGGGTGTAGGGTGTAGGGTGTAGGGTGTAGGGTGTAGGCTTTAGGGTTCAGGGATTAGGGACTTCAGGGTTAGAACCGTAGGGTTGATGACCCAACCCCAAACCTAAACCCTGAGCCCTAAACCCTAAGCCCGAACCATAAAAACCCTTCCAAAAGCACAGGACTCCTACAGGGCGGGGCCCCCTAGTTATAAGTAGAGTTATAAGGGCCCTAAATTGGGTTATAAGGACCCTAAGTTAGGTTATAAGTCCCTTAACTACAGTTAGTATAGTAAGGGGGCCCCACCCTGTAGTAACTACTCTCTCAAACCAGGTGTCGAGCTCACTGCGGGGCTGCAGGGCTTAGGGTTTGGCATGTATGGGTTTGGTTTCGGGTTTAGGGTTTAGGGTTTCGGGTTTAGGATTTAGGGTTTAGGAATTGGGGGAGAAATGTGCAGTGCAGAGTCACAAGGGTGCTTGAGGTTTCGAGGTCTAAGTTTGGGGTTTTAAGGTGCAGCCATATCCCGAAAACGCCAAGTACACGCATTTCCTGCACGCGCAGTGGGCTTGAACACCCTAAACCCTAAACACGCATTTCCTGCACGCGCAGTGGGCTTGAACACCCTAAACCCTAAACCCTAAACCCTAAACCCTAAACCCTAAACCCTAAACCCTAAACCCTAAACCCTAAACCCTAAACCCTAAACCCTAACCCCTAAACCCTAAGCCTTAAGCCCTAAGCCCTAGACCCTAAACCCTAAACCCTAAACCCTAAACCCTAAATTTAAGAGCCTCCGGCTCAAGCCGCCGACCCCGCATAGGGGGGGTGGGGGGGGGGGGGGGGGGGGGGGGGGGGGGGGGGGGGGGGGGGGGGGGGGGGGGGTGGTGGGGGGTCCGAAAACGCTGATTTTGCTGAGGGCGCCCCTACCCCCCTGTGCTGAACCCCCTGTTTACGCTGTGCGGGTGGCGCGGTCCTCCACGAAAAAATTGTGCACCACCGACCCCCCCCACCCCCCGTTTTGGGCGGGTCAGGAGGGAAAGAGGGAGGTTTTCACCTCCTTTTCCCATCCAACACGCCGCCAGGGTCGGCGGACCCTAAACCCTAAACCCTAAACCCTAAACCCTAAACCCTAAACCCTAAACCCTAAACCCTAAACCCTAAACCCTAAACCCTAAACCCTAAACCCTAAACCCTAAACCCTAAACCCTAAACCCTAAACCCTAAACCAAAGCCGTGGCCGATTGAAGCTGCTGAGGCAAAAGCTGGCGCCCTGAACGCCGAACCCTTTAGAAATCCCTCTTCCACGTCACTCAAATCTGCAGTCTCTACGAGGAGGGGCCCCCCTAGTTATGAGTAGAGTTGTAGGGACCCTAAATTGGGTTATAAGGATCGTAACTTATAAGTCCCTTAACTATAGCTAGTATACACAAAACACACAAGGACACGTACACAAAGACGCGCACTCTCAGATGATCTCGTTTCAATTCTCTCACACACACTTCTTGACCACACGGGCCTTGACCCGTCTTCCCTTCTTTTGGGGTTAGGTTCCCTGATAAGACCTTCTAAACCAAGAAGGGCACCCTTGTAATTGCTAGGTTCCTCTTTAGGTCTAGGAAGCTCTTAAACCCTAAACCCCAAACCCCTAAAACCCTAAACCCTAAACCCTAAACAGCCATGGCCCGCGTGTGGCCGGTGCTGGGCACCATGACCTTCGGATCGGAGGGACAGGCCTCAGAGACGGGGGGTTTAGGGTTTAGGGTTTAGGTTTAGGGTTTAGGGTTTCGGGTTTCGGGTTTCGGGTTTCGGGTTTCGGGTTTAGAGCCTAAAACCATCAGTGGGATGAGGGTTTGGGCAGTTAGAAGGGTTGTGCCCCCCCCCTACAACGGTTCCCTCCTTAGTAAGGCTTGTGCTTGTGGAGGTCAGGTTTAAGGTGTACGTAGCGGTTTTAGGGTTACAGTTGGGGGGGGGGGGGGGCAACCCTGGGGGAGGGGAGAGCAGATAGGATCTGACTGCAGGGGAAGCAGCCTAAGGTGAAGTGCACCTATCGTTTGAGGTATATTTCTTATTTTTCTTTCAAGGTGCAGGGTTACCCAGTGGAAAATAGGGGGGGGGTTTGTGGTGTAACAGTTGCGGCTATTTCGAAGTGATCTTGAGCGGCATTGCAGCTAGCAATTGTGCTTGGAGGTTCAGGGTACTTAGTAACCCATTCGAAGCATAGTTATACCCCACATATAAGCCCCTTAAGTACCCCAATAGGGTCATAATTGGGTTATAAGTACAGTTATAATTGGGTTACGAAGTACCATGAACGGCAAATGCTATAGGTGGGAGCAGATGTGCTGTGAGCTCAGGGGGCTCGGATTTCGACCTCCCCCAGACCCCTAGGTCCTGAGCCATGAAGCCCTCAACCCTAAACCGTAAACCCTAAACCCTAAACCCCAAACCCTAAACCCCAAACCCTAAACCCTAAACCCTCAACTCTGACGCGAGCCATGAAGTACTTAGCAGCCATCGGCTCCCGACAGGGGAAACAACACATGTCGGTCCCTGAAGGACCCCCCTGCATTCCCGGTAGGGCTTAGGGCTCTAGGGTTTAGGGTGTAGGGTTTAGGGTTTACAGTTTGTTGTCTAGGGCTTCTAGGGCCTAGGTCCTAAACACGAACCACTCCGATACAGAAGCGCAACCCCTGTGACGGGAGCAAAGGGTCCGAGGTAGCATATGTCGTGCAGAAAGTCGCCTTGGTAGCCCGGTCCTCTTGTCTGGTTCTGGGCTCCCTTGAAAAGGGTGCCCTTATTGTAAATATGGATTACAGGGCTACCAAGAAAAAAACAAGGATGCTTACCCTTCGCGGCTGCTGCGCCATGCTCGCCATGCTGGCCTTCACTCCGTGCTGCGGCGCAGCAGCGACGCAGTGCTGCAAGTACAGCCCGACCGCGACGTTCGACACGCTCGAGTTTTTCAGAAGCCTCCACCGCCAGCACGGCGTCAACGCCTACTGCTTCTTCGGCGGCCTCGTGGGTGCCAAGGACACCTATGCACTCACCTTCCTCATCCAAAAGGTCCCGCCCTTCCTCTCCCTCGTGCCAGTCTACGAAATCGGGGGAGGCTTCAACACCCAAACGATCCAAACCTACGACCTCGACGCAGCCCTGTCCGTCAGCGCGACGGTGGAAGGAGGTGATGGGAAGAAGAACTGGACTGCCCACTCCTCTTCGTTTCTGGGCTTCGAACTCTCTGTCTCCGCAGGAGAGAGCGCAGTGCCCGGAGAAGCAGGTACCGTGTACGACCTCAAGCTCCACTCCAGGGCCAAGAGTTTCGACGTCCTGGTCCGCTTTAAGGACATCATGGGCCTTGTGCGCCAGGGCTTCGGGCCTGATACTTGGTAGGGCCCTGGGATATGTTACATATTCCCTGATTCGGTTTCAGAGGATCCTATTCAGGAATATCCCTAAACCCTAAACCCTAAACCGCAAACCCTAAGGAATAATTTCAGAGGGTTTTTAAGGGCCATCCTAGGACAGCTTCCTTCCCAACTGGCTCTCCCAAGAGCAGAGGGACGTTGCGAACGCAAAGTTCGGCGGGGCAGTCGACCGGTACTTGGCCGAGACCCCATGAACCTTTAAAAGGGTTTAGGGTTTAGGGTTCAGGGTTTAGGGTTTAGGGTTTAGGGTTTAGGGTTTAGTGTAGGGTATATACTGCCCCCCCCCCCCCCCCCCCAATTTTAGGCTTCATTTCGTGCCCAAGGTACTTGGCCGGGACTCCCAACGCCACCCTGGATTGCCAGGGTTCTTACTACTTTTCGATGCCGCTCCTTCAGGTGGAGACTTGGCTTTCTTCTGGCTGGCCCTATAGTACTTTTTATCACCTTCTTGGGTTTTTGGTGGAAGCTACACTAAGGAGCCCAGAAGTTAGACCCTAAACCCTATAAACCCTAAACCCTAAACCCTAAACCTTTATCGGAGGGGTTCAGAAGTCAGCCGAGGAGAGCTTTGAGATTCGACAGGCGGGCAAGGTCGTCGATTCCGGCAACTCTGGCATGCTTTGGTCCGACTACGTAGTCCAGACCTACGACGCTCGGTAGGCCCTTTGGGACGTTTTCGTTTCTTCCCTTGTTGGGTTTGAGAGGATCATATTCAGGAATATCCCTAAACCCTAAACCCTAAACGCTAAGGAATGTTTTCCAGAGGGCTTGTTTAGGGCCATCCTAAGGACAGCAAGGGCAAGGCGCTCCTCAAGAACGTGAGCTGGCAGTTCTTCGCGCTCCAGTTTCCCGACGTCCGCTCCGCCATGATGATCACGGCGGTGCGCACGGCCGACGGTGTCTTCCAAGAGGCAAGGCCCGACTGGGTATAGGGTTTAGGGTTTGGGGTTTAGGGTTTAGGGTTTAGGGTTTAGGGTTTCGGGTTTCGGGTTTCGGGTTTAGGGTGTCTTCCAAAAGCAGGCAAGCCTCTTCCAGGGGAGCGGCGACCGCCGCACGACGTGGACGCTCGATAACCTCAAGATTTCTCCGAAGGGACAGCCCTGGACAAGTCCGGCAAGCCAAGACCGCTACTAGGGCTTTTTTGGGGTTTAGGGTTTAGGGTTTGGGGTTTAGGGTTTAGGGTTTAGGGTTTAGGGCTACTGGGACCCTGGAGTAGGCCCATATTTCCTTTTTTTAGGGTTGGGGTTCCCTTATCATCCCCTTACAGCCGACAAGGGTACCGTTTCATGTTCCTAGGTTACTCCCGGGTCACCCTAAACCCTGAACCCTGAACCCTAGACCCTAAACCCTTTTGTTCCTAGGCTACTACCTGTCCTACGACGTGACCATGAAGAACCCGGACGCGCAGGTGTCGCTCGAGGTGCTGTGGCCTGAACCTTGGTAGTGCGGTGGTGCCATTTCCCCCTTTTTGTTTTAGGGTTTAGGAATGAGGGTTTAGGGTTTAGGGTTCAAGGTTCCCTTATATAAAGTCACGAACTACAAAAAAAGGGGGCATCCTTGCCATGAGTTATTTTTTGTTTGGTTCAAGGTTCGTATAAAGTCAAGAACCACAAAAAAAAGGGGGCATCATTGTCATCATCTGGCTACTGGGCTACCAAGGAACAGGAGGTGGGCCTTGGGTCCAAGCAGTTCAAGTACGAAGGCTTGGCTCGCGCCTCCGCTCGTTGGCCGGGCGGAGGCTCATCCAATGGCACCGGCTGGGTGGAACTGCAACCACTCGGTCCGGTGATGGGCAGGATGTCTTCCGTCCTCTTCTCATGACCTCTGATCAACGATGTGGTTAAGTACCCCCCAAAATAGAACAGATTCTTCCTAAAAGGTCAATAGAGGGATTGTTATCTTTTAGTTCTTTGGGGGTTCTTTTCCTAAAAGGCTAAGAGAGGGATTGTTATCTCTTAGTTTTTTTTTTTTGGGGGGGGGGGGGTTTCTTCACCAAATAGCAGTGACATTGTTTCGCGCCAGAGTCCGCAGAAAATCGGAGCAGCATGCCCTCAGTTCTATAGCTCCCTATAAATTTATTTATAAGGGCCCCATGTGCCTATGCCCCAAGAGCCCAAGAGCCCTTAATTAAGGAATACTCCTTAAATCAGATAGGGATAAATCATATAGGGGTCCTGAATATGATTAAGGAGTATTCCTCAATTAAGGAGGTATTGGGCTCTTTGGGTATAAGTATATGTTTGGGCCTTACAGGGGTTCCCAGAAAGTAGCTTTGGGCCCAAGTATATACTATAGGTACATGGACCCTTAGGGGTTATGCCGGCCCCCACCCCCCCACCCAAAGGCACGACAGAATCCTCACCGTAAGCTCTATCCTGCATCTGCATCTGATCCCTTTTGTGACTTTCGGGCCTGTTTTTCGGTGTCTTCTGATCGCAGTGTCAGCTGGGTTCGAGTCTGTGCACAGAGAGTTTTAGATATCAGTACTTCAGGCGTCGCCCCCTGAGCACCAAAGTGCCTCAATTCCTGACCTAAAACTTAATAAACATCCCTTAAAACCCTATACGCCCCACATCCAAACAGGGCCATTGGTGAAAACACAGAGTGTGAAGACACCTGTGTCCAAGCTTGTTTAGCAAAAGGCCCAAAACGAATCGCAATGTGTCCTTCAAACCCAACCGGAAGAAACCTTAAATGGGATTGTTCTAGATTCTAAAGGTCCTCCAAACGGGAATTCCTTAAACCCTAAACCCTAAATCCTTACACCCTAAACCCTAAGCCCTAAACCCGAAACCCTGAACTGCCCTGAACCCCAAACCCCAAACCCCAAACCCCAAACCCCAAACCCCAAACCCCAAACCCCAAACCCCAAACCCCAAACCCCAAACCCAAACCCCAAACCCCAAAAACCCCAAACCCCAAACCCCAAACCCCAAACCCCAAACCCCAAACCCCAAACCCCAAACCCCAAACCCTAAACCCTAAACCCTAAACCCTAGCCCTAACCCTAAACCCCAAACCCTAACCCCAGAGCCTTGCCACGCAGGTGAAGCCATCCGAGGTGGCGAGCTTCTTGCGGGCCTTTGCCAAGGCAAAGTGCGCGCAGGCTCCTCCAGGCAGACCCCTGTAGGGTTTAGGTTTTAGGGTTTAGGGTTTAGGGTATAGGGTTTAGGGTTTAGGGTTTCGGGTCTGTAGAGTTACACAGGGCTTCTTGGGGGTTGTCCCCTTTAAACCCAAAGGGTACCCTTCTTATTCCTAGGTTACTCTTAGGTCTAGATTAGCATTGCGGTGGTAGAAGCTGCCCCAAGAGGGCAAATAGTCAACAAGGGGTCAAAGACAGCAAAAGCATCGACACTGACATCATGCCTTGCGGTGATGTTCCCCAAGCCCTATCACCCCAAGAACCCTACAGGGGCCCCCTAGTTATAAGTAGAGTTATAAGGGCCCTAAATTGGGTTATAAGGACCCTAAGTTAGGTTATAAGTCCCTTAACTACAGTTAGTATAGTAAGGGGGCCCCACCCCGTAAGCCCTAAACCCTAAACCCTAAACCCTAAACCCTAAACCCTTATAAGCCATCCCACAGGCGCCATGATTGATACCGCGCGGGTCTACTACTCGGCGAGCCCTGACGGGGACACGGAGACTTCGCTGGGCTCGGGACTCGGAGAGGTTCTTCGTGGTTCAAAACCCAACTTTTCAACTTTTGGCCTCTTATAAGGTAGTCTTATTCTGAAATTTAGAACTTGTCCAAAAACCCCACTTTTCAACTTTTGGCCTCTTATAAGGTAGTCTTATTCTGAAATTTAGAACTTGTTCAAAAACCCATCTTTTCAACTTTTGGCCTCTTATAAGGTAGTCTTATTCTGAAATTTAGAACTTGTTCAAAACCCAACTTTTCAACTTTTGGCCTCTTATAAGGTAGTCTTATTCTGAAATTTAGAACTTCTTACCCCATGGACATTGGGGAAGTAAGGGTTTCCCAACTTTAGAACGGCGGATCCCACATTTCTTGAGCCCGGCAAACTACAACTATTTTGCGGCAGCTCACCTGTCAGTATTCCTTTATGGTGCCCTTCAATCCTCGACTCAGAACAACGTGGTGCCAGTTTTCTCTATGTGGTGGCCGATCTAAAGGCCCGACTAAAAGTGCATTTAAGGCATTCTAGTTGTCTGTTTAGTCATTTTCTTGGTGGGAAGCAGGTAGTATTGAGACAACCCTAACCCCTGAACCCTATAAGCCCCATTCACACCGATCCCTAAACTGGCCCTAAACCCTATATAAACAAAAAATATGTAATCCCTAAGCACTATCAGACCCAAACCCTATAGAGACCCTAGAGACCCTAATCCTTAAACACCGTAAACCCTTAACTCCCACTTTTCTTCCGATCTCGCGGGCGAACAAGGTCGGGCCTTTGGCTCTTTGCCGTCGCTAGCCCAGTCACAGGGGGTTTAGGGAACTCCAAACCCTAAACCCCAAACCCTGAAGCCTAAACCCTAAACCCTAAACCCCAAATCCTAAACCCTAAACCCCAAACCCTATCTCTAAACCCTATCAGCGGTTTCGGGAGCTTAGGGTTTTGGGTTTAGGGAGGGCAGTGGGCTGTGGGTACTAGGAGACTGTGCTTCTGTTCAGGGTTTCCTAGTAATAGAGTAGGTAAGCTTTAACCTTTTTGGGGTAATACAATCCCCTTGTAATCCCAAAGGTTAACCTTTAGTTCCCTCAGGTACTGGACAACTAATTTCGGGCTTACCTGAAGTGGCTCCTTACAATGCAGCTCCTTTTTGTCCGTAGGCCCGTATTCCCCTTTTGTTCAGGGTTTACATTATATTCCCCTTCAACCAAAGAAGGGCACCCTTATTCCTAGGTTACTCTTGGTTCTAGCTAACGAACTTTAACAAGTCAAAGAGAGCTAGAGTACAGTCTTCAAGTGGGGATGGGGTGTAGGACTTGTAAACTGGGGTTTCAGGACTTTGGCGATACGAGCTGACTTTTCAGAGAGCGGTAAAGTGGATGCTTTGTCGTTTGTAATTCGGCTGCCGAGGAACTTACAGCAGTCCGCTCCATTGCTTTGGGTACGTGCGAATGTGCTATGTGTGAGTTCTGCTCGGTTGCAAGGCTGTGCCAATGTCATGGCCAACATGTACTTTAACAGGCTGCAGGCGTTGAATGTCGAGGCAGTTCACAGGCTGCAAGGTTCTCGCTCCCTACTGGTACCTGTCCACAAAATAGCCGGGCCGACATAATTATCCGGCATTTGCAGCAGCTGTCCCATTTGACAGGTAGAAAATTAAGTTGTTCGAGGGAAGTCCTAGATAATACCTATGTGTCCACGTGTTTCGCTGGGGCCGTTCCTCCCCATGCATATATTGCTGAGGTATATGGACCCCAAAACCCTGGTTCAAACCCTATTGCTAAGTACAGGGACCTTAGGGTATGATGAAGCTCCCTGCCTCAAGAACTCGATCGTTCCAACCTTGAACGCCCGTACCCATGAAGACCCGCACACCGCTTGCGGACTAAACGACCTTTAGCAGGCTTTTGAAGTTCATATACCTGAATCGGGATTGCAGCGGTATAGGGTTTAGGGTTCTCACATATATTTATATGTATATATATTTTTTTTATTTATTTATTATGTATACATATATACATATATATATATATTTATTTATTTATTTATTTAAACTTTCTTATTTGTTTATTTATTTCGTTTACTCCATGTTTTCCCAGTTTCAACAGGGGTTTTAGAAGTGCACGATCTTACTGTTAGGGTTCATGTAGTCTCCGTGATTTGGGCTTAGGATGGTTTAGGGTTCATAGGCCTTAACAGCCCTTTAAACCCCATAAACCCTATAAACCCTAAAACCTATAAACCCCGTAAACCCTGCAAGCCCCATAAACCCTGTAAACCCTGTAGAACCTACACCCCAACCCTGTAAACCATAAGGGGCACGCGCGGCGGCTACCACCTCGCGAGCAAAGCGATCTCCATGGCGCCGCACTTCTCACTCTCCAAGCATGCTGTGGGGGTCCTCAGCCGTGTGGTTTGGGTGTTTTAGTGCTTTAGGGTTGTTGGGGTTGTTAGGGCTTTTGGGTTTTTGGGGTTGTTCGGTGAGGGTTTTAGTGTTTTTAGTTTGTGGAGTTCAGGGTTGAGATTTGTATGGTTTCAAAATGTTGTGGATTTGGGTGTGAGGGCTTCAGGATTGAGAGTGGTAGCTTGTCAGGTCTCAGGGTTGAAGGTTGAGGGTTGAGGGCTAAACCCTCTCTTAACCCTAAACCCTAATCCCTAATCCTTAAACCCTAAACCCAACGCTCTTAACCCTAATCCGACTGAGGTGCATGAGCCATCATAAAGCCGTCAAGGTTTGTTTCGTCCGTGGCCATCGGGTCCCCAACCCTCCCCTGAGAAGAGGGGGTTTAGGATTTAGGGTTTCGGGT